ATTTAGATCCGGAATCATTTTGCTGCATCTCAGCAGAATAGTTTAGCTATCACAGGTCTTGATAATCTGACATGGTATCAATTTACTCTTCCGCTAACCAGGGTATTGCCAGACTGATGTACATAGACCTACCTCCTTCGGTTGATGCAGCAGGGGCTTTCGACACTTGAATGCTATGGAATCTGTAATACATGAATTTTGTTGTATCCTGCATTGTAAACACCACCAGCTCAGGTGCAGCGAAATGATACCGGAATCAAATCGAGTGTTCTTTCGTTTGTTGAAGTATATCTGAGGAATTTGCTGAGAATTTGACCCGTTTATGCTTTAAAGTACTTCCAATCAAGTTTAACGTGTAAAATCGTCAAAATTGGATAATAAGACAAGTTTTAAAATTGGCGAGAGATCAGCAAGTGTTTTGACTGTCTGCATGTTTCAAACAATGACTCCCCGTTTAGTAATATTTAACTGGAGAAAGTGAGAGAGCAAAAATACAGGGGACGTCTAGTCGATACCTGCCTATCACAATTCAATATTCATTCGAACTCGCCAGAGTTGCACCGGGAATGAGACGGCATAATCGGCGGGGGGAGGCGGGAGCTAGAGGAGGGTAAATAAGCTTGACAATCTGACACAAGTTGATTCCAGTATACATAATTTGACATCCGACAGATCACAAAATTTCCGCCACTGGCCTGCGAATAGTTCGCCAGGTATTCAGTGTCTGTGCCCCGACAACGAACAGATGAATGTTTTCGTTCGTGTTGTTTTGCTGTTGTTGTTGTTGTTGTTGTTGTCTACGTATGTGTATGTCTCGCGCGCGCCAAACTGCCAAAATTCTACGGTCAAATTGTGAATCTGTTTGGCCACTAAGCGGGGATTTTCTGACCGGAATGGCAGTGGTCCGATGCGGTCGTTGATCTGGCTGTGTTTGTCTGTTTGTCCGTGGAGCCAAAAAGGATGGGCCCTCTAATTTTGTTCTATCAAACACTCTGCTTTCAGAGGATAAACATTCGAAAATTTAGTACTATTATCAGTTTTGTTATGACTGATATTTGTTCGGTTTTATTAGTGGCAGAAGTGAAGTGATGGTAGTAGTTTCTAACTACCTACATGATTGAAACATGATTTGTCTATGTGTAATTCACTTCAACAGCGCCCAGGAAACCTAACTGAGTGAAGATACTACTCACGTTAATTCAACGACGCAGCCATTGCATTGAGTTGACATTAGCAACAAAGAGAAACCCGGTTAGGCCTACTTTATTTGTTAACAATAGGTGATCATATTTGACAGCACAAACTGCAATGGGAATATCTCGAAATGGGAAGGCGGGTAAATTAATCGATTCTTTTTTTAAAAAAAATCAGTTTATCCAGACATCAGTACTACTCAGCAGAACACCAAATCGTAAACCAGTGTGCGGAATCGACTGAATTCTGCTCACTGACCCCCCCCTCCCCCAGGCAGATTACAGTCCATCTACATGGTAAATGAAAGAACGCTCTCAAAACACAACTCCCAATGAGACTGGTATAAAACCTTCCCCTAAGTCGTGTTATATTTTCGAAACCGCACCACGTTCGTTCATCGTTTGCTCTATTCCATCACCGAACCGCACAGGCTAAATACAAGTAAAATCTCCAATTGAGCCAAACTGTGACGTAAGAAACAGTGAATGTTTCATAACCAAATCATGAAGCCGAAGTCTCTAGGGTTGCGATGAACGGGGACAGACTTGCACAGAGGTGTTGCGCCACACCGTATACTGGCCAAATGTGGAACAATTTGCCTAGATGCCTAGTGCCCAAAGGGATAGTGCGCTTACGTACTGTCTGTGAGCTCCCGAGTTCGATCCCCAGCTGTGTTCGTGGAGCCAAAAAGTTTAATTAAGATGCACATTGTCAAACTTTATTTTCCACCCAACATTCACACAGACGATATAGCTTAACTATTATTATCATTATTGCAAACGAGACCTGCTTTTTGTGTTTTTAATTATTCTTTAATCACAATTTCATCAGACAAATATGGTTTTGATAAATATGAAAATCTACGTTCCTTAATCACTTTTATCTTTTACTGCCTTTAATTTTCAATCAAGCTGCCATTTGCACAGATTTCATCACTATACAGGCCGATCCCATTGTGTAAACGAAGAATATGTTGAACGGGTGCACACGAATTCAAACAGCTCTTTATTGGGATACATTTAAGAAAAAGAGGAACCAACACTGCACAATTTATTTTGTGGACCATTTCGCTGCATCTTCACTGGTGCTTACGACAGTGGATTACAAAATAACCATGTATGCGCCTGGCGGAGGCAAAGGCAGAGTGATGAAAAAGTCTTTCAAAGTTAAAATCGTCGTGTACGGAGAGCAAATGAAGCGTGAAAAGCTTAAAAGCTAGGAAGCACTACTGGATAACAGCTGTTTCGACCTGGTTGGGTCTCATCAGTACAGTGCTCGCATCCATCCATCCATCCAACTGCGGATCGCGAACTCAGGACCTCATCACAGGCAGAATGCAAGCATGCAACCCAGTTGGGTGCACTGCAATGATGAGACCCAACCAGGTCGAAACAGATGCTGTCCAGTAATGCTTCCTAGCTTTTAAGTTCACGCCTCATTTGCTAAATGCACGAGGAACTCACCTTTGAAATTGAATTAAATCCTCCATCACTCACTTGAAATATGTGGTCAGGTTGTGAATGTTTCCAACCTAGTCATAACCCTGGAGGCTAGTGCCGAGTTGAGCTAAGACAGAGTGATGAAGTCTTTGTTTTTTCTCTCCCGACCGTCGAGCAGTTGCGTCATCAATAACGGTTTGGTAAATGGGGGGAGGTCTCTCTGTTTCGCAAAGACGGTCCATATCACATATAGTCAGCTGTGTTCGCCCGACATGACAACCTCTAGTCAAACCCACTTGGGGATGTGTTGTGAAACTGAATTATGTAATGTATTCTCATTCAATTAGTGGATGATCAANNNTGATCAAGTGTGATGTGGTATGCAGACAAGCGCGTTGTTGACCCGGGTGACGACTATGCTCAGTCAGTGCCCTTGATGGGCGAAGTTAAACGTTGTTGGAACAAATCGGTTACATCATCACTTTTGAATGAAAGACAAATCGTGACCCCTGATCAATAGATGTTAACTCAACAACTGGCTTTTTATTGTGTAGTTTGGTGTACGCAACCCCGGGAAAACCATTTTAGGTCATTGTATTACATAACAAGACCAGGTCGTTTAATGGTGTTTCACAATTCAGCGAGCTCTAACCAGCTGCCCATCACGAAGAGACTGTATCTTGACGTGATGTGATGGCTTGTGCACCTCTCTGACCCAACGAGCTACATTGATAATGATGATGATGATGATGATGATGATGATGATGATGACGATGATGATGATGATGATGATGATGATGATGATGATGATGATGACTCGGATGATGATGATGATGATGATGATGATGAGCTCTAACCGGTGGGGCGTGAAAAAGATGACATTTTTTGCAATGGGTACAAAGCTTCCATTATGTAAGAACTAATCCATTCAAGTTGCTTTCCGGCAGACCAAACTTTCCATAGTTCTATCTGGATTTCCAAAATGCCTGATATCTAGCAAACTCATGCTGTTGTTTTGTTCAGTTTCTGTGATGAACTGAATGTTCGTGTTCAGTCAGCGATGGCTCCGATAACTTTCTCCGCCTGTTTGAAAGTGTCTGGAACAAGTAAATCATCAGCGAGAACCCCGTCCAGCATAAACCAGTTTGTTTGTTTCATGAAATCTGGACCTCGCAATTCTCAAATGCATTGTGGATAAACGCGCTAATGCTGAGCCCAACGGGATTCCCACAATAATCACATCATCAACTTTTATACATACTTATACATAATTCCAAAGAGACAATCGTAGTATGAGATAGTAGGAGTCGCGTCAAGAATGAGAACAATAATTGATTTCAACGGAAACAGATTTGTTCGTCCAAGCAGGGCATCCTAAGTAGACTGAAACGATAACCGTTCCCTGGTTATTTTCCTGGTTTACTCAAATGGGATTTCAAAATCTTACGCCTACCATTCTTGTGAATGAGTTAGTTGTGACAATTCCACGGTATCATACAACTTCTTGGGTGAATCTTTTGAAGAGAATTCTCACAGACCTCAACCACCCGTTGCACGCAGAACTAACACGTTGTCGTTCCCATCCAACCACACGCTTCCAATTTTGCGTAATTCCATTCCAAATAAACACCTATCGAAATTCATCCATAGTACCCTATCTTATACGTTTAGTCACAAAATGGGTGAGAGAAGTAATAGGTGAACATTGTTTTAATTTTGGATTATGAAATGTTTCCATGTCTGTATGCATGTTCTCCTCATCTCCTTCAATATGTTTTCCGTGACTGTTGACGCCTACAGCTTTTTAAATGAATTTTAAGCTTCATTGCGCGTTCCACAAAGATCTGTGTGATGAGAATGGGGCCGCTCGGTTAGACAACGAGTGATGTCATCATGAGGTGTCAACGTTGCAAATGTCATTTACAGACTGTATTCGTTGTTGAAATCTGTCTCGAACAGAGCTAGACACGGGCACCTGACAAGTTTATCGCGACACATTTCATCAGACCAATTATTCACGCTGTCAACAAAGTTTTGCGTGGCTTGCGCAGCCTGATCCTGGTCAACAAGAGAGAGAAAGAAGCCGGTTCGTTGTGATGAAATATTTCGTTTCTCGTTGAAAATGTCCACTCACTGTGGACTTTGGATTTTCAAACTGGTCAAAATGCGGGCGCAATATGCAATGAAACTTAGTACTCTCAAATATTTAGCTTATTACAAAAAAGGATTTTATTATTATTATTATCATTATTATTATTATTATTTATTAACATTCTATCAATAATGAATACCATTTTTTAAATCATTTTCCCTCTTTTGTTCTCACTCAGTAATACCATTTTTGTTTGTTTATTTCCATTCCAGGTGATGAGCACACTGACAAGACCCTGTCCAAAACACGGACCTCACTATCTGTTACATTCCGAAGCGAATTTGGATGAATCCTATGCCATCCCACTACCAACATCTGTATATACGATAAACGAAATGTTAGAATCCGCGAACGCTACATCTACACTGTCTAGGACCAGTAATCAAGTGACCGGAGAGTATCCTTTAAGTCTGGACACAATTTATCCCAATCCGTCGAATACGAGTACAATTTTGAACAAAACTATCTCTTGGGTGCCGTTACCGTTGATCAATGAGTCTGTGACCGGTCCTGTGAATGCTGGTTTTATTTACATAGATCCCCTGAAACCACTCGAACTGAATAGTGACCAGAACGGAGATCAATCTGGTCGTCAGTGATTGATGTGAGTTTTGGAAAAAAAGAGCATCCCAGTTTATCCACTGAACAATGCATATATAATAGTTCGTTGTATGTGGAAAAACAAATTGATCGATGTGACTAATAAAACCAATCGCCCTTCTCCCAACTCCACCCCTGCCTGCCAAACATGTTCTGTTGTTCTCTGCCTTTAACTCACAATTGTATATTTAGCAAACTCGAACACTCCTACATTCTGTGCTGAAACGTGTGTTTCAACACGGACTCCAGTGGTTGACTGTGCTTCTTGGAGTGTAAATATTATCAAATATTTTGTAGTCGAATTACACGAAGCAACTGTGACGCTGTCTCCCGCTCGTTCTCTCTCTCACACACACACTCTCCGCCCCCAAACCCAACCCCTCGCTTTGTGTTTGTTTGTGGCTGTCAGAACACCTGTTCCCAATTTCCGACTAGGGCCGAACGAAAATTTCTAAAGGGGCATATCGATTATNCCGAATCGTGACGTAGAAAAGCTACCAAGTTCAATCAAGTGCGGAAAGCACATTAAAAACTCGAAACAGGCAGATTGAAAAAAATCACTTTTTTATAGGTTTTCAAACCTCAGCTATCGCGGATTCGAAAGATTGAAACAAAACTTTATCTCCACACAGAAAACTGACTTTATTTTTCAACCAATGATAAGAACTTCGTATCAGGTGCACACATGGTATACATGACTAAGATAAATAAAAATAAGATATAGTCCAGCACTATTCTTCCTTGTTGTCAGAATCTCATAAATCAAATTTGAACATTTCACTATTAAAGAGTGATATTTCATAGAAAATTAAATAACTGAATTAGAATCCCCCTGATTTCACGACAATAATCACGACAACGCTGATAAAGAAAAAGATGTTGATGATGATGACTCGGATGATGATGATGATGTTGACGATGATGACTCGGATGATGATGATGATGATGATATCAACACTGAAGAGTTACTTTGCTTGTGCATTCAGATTTTACCGTAAATCAAGACACAAATTGCACTGCTAACAGTTCTCTGGCATTTCCTTCGCTGTTTCAAACCAATCGGATAGGAAGTCTGTTACACCGTGGCCTGTAAGTGCCCTCACCTACTTGAGAGAATATCTCTTTTTGTTTATCTACGTGTTATGTTGCGTTTTCTTGAACCTGGAGCGTTTATCTATAGACAATGCGTGGTGTGATAGACGAGTTGAAGGGACGCACAATACGCTTCCTAACCACTAAATCACAATCATAGGAATTTCGTGTTACAACAAATTTTCCGCTCAATACAATCAAATCGATGACTGTTTACCTGCATCACGAACACACACGCACGCACACAAACACGCTATAACTCACTTGTACCAAAATAATGAGGCACCGATACACGAGGATTTCTTGTCGATAATAGTCCTCTACATTTCCGACCGTACAGTAGAACTGATAGCAAAGTGGCAGGTAGAATGTACGCTACCTTTCACAATTCGTTAAATGTCACGTCAATGCGGAAAGTACTGTAGCCCGGTGTACTCCGCTCTGACCTTCATCAGACCAGTGTTATTCACCGCGCAACTACCTTAGTTACCGAGAAAAAAAACAAATAACCAATCAATCATAGTCAATTGATGGTCACCCTATTTCAAAGCACCTAGGGCTTGCAGCATCCAAATGTATTTTGTTCATCGGACAATTGTAAATTGGTAACTTTCCGTCCACTGTGTAACAATAGTTCGTCGTTCGTCGACTGCTTGCTAGTCTCTTTTTTATAAAATAGCACTAATTGTTTCAGGCTTTAACTCAAAGAAGATTATTGATCAGTTCGGTCATGGAATAACTTCTTTCCCTATGTTTTCCTTGAGTTTGGAATCAAAATTGTAAGAAAAGTGTTCGGTTTTATTCCGCTCACATTCGTTGCCCACTATTCGGTTTCATAGCACCATGTCACAGGTGAGCACCACAGGTGTAAATAACACAGTATATAGCGCCAGTATAACACCAGTAGCACACGGGAACACGAGAACAGCGGACAAGCACTAAGTCCGTGAACGAATCATAGTTCTCGGAGCGGAAGATACCTAGGCGAAATACAGGACGGACGGTCGGTTATCGATCTCTCAGGCCTTCCAAAACACGAGAGAGAGAGGCTTCAGTAACATGGGGTTTTTAATGGCCTTGCACACAAGTCACAAGTCAATTGACAAGTTTTACTCTGATGCTTGTATGTGACTGAAAACTAACATCGATCAATGCAAGAAAAAGATTGTACCAATCAAGTACACAGTGAGCAAAGTTCAACCGGCCAGAAACCACGGATCAGACGGTCGCATAGAATGAATATTGCCGTGAGACGCAAATTGACTGATTAATCCACGCGACAGTAGTGTTCATCCGAGATGACCCAAATTAGGGTCCAGTGGGTTGTAAATTGGTTCGATTTTTTCACAGAATTAGCAAATATGCAGCCGGGTTTATCTCGGGACAAGTAGCAATGACCGTCATCTCGAGATCATATGAACGAATTTAGCACAGTTGTTCGAAAAAAACTCTTCTCGGTGTAAACACAGTAGGGATAATGATTTTTACCAACTGTGTTTCGAGTTAGTCTCTGGTGTACAACATAAACGTTGGTTCGAATCATAGGCAATTCGATTTACCAGTGGAACGAAAAAAACGCACATACCAAAACCTTTCAGTTCTTCCGTATTCGGTCGCACAGCGTATCTTTTTTGTTATCTGCGTAGCACGGGTAATGACCACATCAAACACAACCATTTTACCGGCTACAGTTGTGCTATTAATTGTTCGAAATCAATATACAAAACAAACAAAACAAATGTTTTTTTTATTTCCTGTTTCTATGTGTTGAATTTACAAATGCACAGTCAACTTTCAGGAAGGGGTGTCTGCGGTCATACAAAGGCTGCCTGGGGAAAATACAGAAATAGGGAAGACGGGCGGCGGTGGAGTGGTTCGAA